AGGCAGTATAACAGGCCCCCAGACCTTAGCACAACTGATATCATGATGGAAGCATCATTCAGGCCTTGAAACCCAGCACAGAGGCAGTAAAACCTGACAAAGGAAGAACAAAGACCCAATAGATTAATGCCCATAGTTCTAGGAAAGTCTCTAAAGGAACTACGCTTGCTTATTGACTTTCTGTAGCTCCAATTCTGGCTAACTGTTCTTGCCGACTGATGTGTGTCAACCCAGGGTGTGGCTTCTGTGCTTAAAAGCTCACTCCGAGAAAGGCTCTGGGCTACACTGGGTTATTGAGCACCTGGTGTAGTCACCTGCTTGCTAATAAAGACTTTCTATCGGCTTGAACCCATGTCTCTGATGGAGAAATTCACAACATTGGTCATTACAAGGATCAAAACGATTATGGACTGATGATTATGGTATGGAGAGATTTTCCCTGCTCTCTCACCAGTGTGGACTGGTCTGGAATCTGTGACTAAGACCCTTAAATATGCCAAAGTTGAGCAGAATTGGCACTGAACTGACCTGGTTTGCGATTAGCTTTGTGTTGGCTTCAGCTTATCTAAGATAACTTTCCCTCATTCATATGTAAGTTCCAGGCTTGTCAGGACCCTGCACTGTACTGACCTATTTCAGTTTGAGTTTTGAGTTTAGCTGGCCTGGTCTCTACATGAAACGAACTGTTTGTTCAGCGAGGGCCGGAGAATGAGTTCTTAAGAAGACTGGGTTAATAATGACGGTCAACATTACAGAATTACCTGGTAGCCAAACCTTGGAGTTAATCTGTGAGGGAGTTTTTATATTAAGTCATTTGGAGTAGGAAGCCCCGCCCTGACTGTGGGTGAGACCTTTCCACAGGCTGGGGACCCAGCCGGGTCCTGACATTTATTGCTTTCTGCTTCCAGACCTTAGATGCAATGTGACCAGCTGCCTCAAGTTCTCACCACCATTAGAGACTACATCCCTTCCTATTTAAAGACCCCCCCTTGCTGCTTTCTTGTCCTATTGGTGAGAGAAGTAACTAATATATAGATGGTGTGTAGCCCTAGCAGAACTAGCTTGTGAATCGGATTAAATAGGATCTGTCTTGGACTGATAATTGACCCATCTACAATATGAGTTTATTCTTTGGAGGGCTCTTGTTCAGTCAGCGTCGGGTTCCATTACATCCTGAGTGGGCCTCATCCCTTCATGGCAAGGGTTGTTAGCAGGCCCCAAAGGCTGGGGCTTTGGAATGAATCAAAATCTATTTTATACTGAACTTACTTGGAGCTAGACCTAGCTTGGCTTTGGTGGGAGTATTAATGTTCCTGAGTTGAACAGCTCTGACCATTTCTGGGCTAAAATTGAGGGTTGCCTGGCCTCTGGGATACCATCATGACATCTTCTTCAGATGACTTCAGCGCCTGGGCTTTGCTTGATTACTGGCATTTTTGTTTATCCCATCCCCAAAGCCAACATGGCTCAGATTCTTCAGAAATTCTGTTGTTCAAGATAAATACTCTCCTGACCTTTGTACACACGGTGTGTGGTCCGGGTGACCAGGGAGACATCCAAAAGCCTACAAATAGTGGGTTTATCCGATCGACATGAAATGTACTAGAATGTATCAGATTGTTGACAACTATTTATTAGGGAAATAAATTTTATTTCGTCTGCATTGTCTGGAGCCTTTTTCAGAGCCTTGAATAATAGCCCAAGGAGCACTTTGGTGCCCGGTGAGTTTCTGGGAAGATGAGATGGCAGTGGGATAGATGGTGTGATACAGCACCTAGCAGGTGTCTGAAGCTTGACGGAAGGACCTGGATCAGGGGAGGGTAGTGTCAACAAGGGAGTGAGTCAGTAAGAAGCTGATAGGCAGGCATGTCACATTTAATAACTACTGTCTCAATGAAGAAAACTCTGGTATGGTGATTGCTGTGTCAGACTGAAGTCTTGGCATGTCAGTCTAGTGGCAAATTCTCTAATCTCTTGAAAACCAACGAGTTTGAGATATATGGAATCCTTAAATATCTTGGTCCTTTTCCTATTGCAGATAGACCATCTGAAGAGTCACAAACTACCTCCTTATTCTCTTGCTTCCCAGAAAGGAGGTATTCCTTTGCTAGTGACAGGGCGCAGGAACACTCCTTAGTGAAACTGACACTTGTCAAAGCAATGGGGGCTTCCTGGGGCTTATTCGCCTGACTTCCGCAGCATGTGGTACTATTTAGATTCCTTCACACCCTGGTTTCTACCTGTATAGCTGCAGTGGCTGAGGTGGTAGCAAACTGGAGATGAGCAGCTTGTACCAAAAAAAAAAATGGGGGGAGCTCTTTACAAAATCCCGGAAGAAAGGCAGGGGCGGCTGGTACACTCCACTACCTGAGTGACTCCAGCTACTTCTCTGCCCTCTTGAGGGCCATATTTGTCCTGGGAGTGGGGGGCATACTCTCCTACCCTCCCTGCTCCTCTGTGAGCATATTTTAAATGGGCCCTCCTCCCACTCTGGTGAATATGCCTCTGCCTGTGCTCCATAGTGGTGTCTTTAGCTTTAGAGAGCTCTGTCACGACCCAATGCTCTCTCCCAGGTTGACTTCCTAAACCATTGTCCTCTGCCACCCAAACACTTAGATACCTCAGAGGATCCCGAGGGCGTGTAGATGAGAGGAGACGTTCCCTCCCTGGTTCCTCCTGTCCCTCAGTTCCCTGCAGGGGCATTAAGCTTTCCCTGCCAACCTCACAAACATGTTCTTTGTTACACTGTCCTCGAATTCTTTCTCTTCCTGGACCAGCATCCCCTGGTTTTCCAGACTTCATCGGTCCAGCTGGTTTCTCTAGACTTCCCCTCCTTATTTCTTATCACAGAGCTTGGTGGGGCCAAGATGGGTTTTCCTCTTTTGAGGCAGGAGAAAGTACCGAAAAGGCAAACTTAGACTAGTTAGAGTATTTTTACTCCCCCTAATTATTTTATCTCGCAAACAGAAATTTCCAAAATATGGGTGCCAGTAGATGTTACCCGAAAACAGCTTCATAGACAAGCAAGTCTGGGAAACTGTCAAATCACCTTTGTCCTACAGAAATTCTCCGAGGGTTAAAGTGACAACAGGCAGTTGTTAGTTACCTATTGTTGCATAACAAACTGCCCCCAAAGCTAGCAGCCGAGAATGCAGCAAACACTGTCTTCTGCTTGCATGGGCCAGGAGTCAGGGGAGGGCCGGGTTAGGTGCTTGTTTGGGTCTCAAAGGCTGCAGTCACCCGAAGGCTTGACAGGCCCTGGAGAATCAGCTCCCAAAACACCAGGCTGGTGACTGATGTTGGTTGTCAGTAGGGATGGCAGTGTCCAGCCACATGGCTGGGGTCTGGGGTTTCTCATAATATACCAGTGTATTAGTCAGAGTTCTCTAGAGTCACAGAGAACTTGTGGAATGAATGAATGAATCTCGCTCTCTCTCTCCTTATATAGATATGGAACTTATTGGAATGACTTACGGGCTGCAGTCCAACTAATTCAACAATGGCTAGCTGTGAATGGAAAGCCCAAGAATCTAATAGCTGCTCAGTCCATGAGGCTGGGCATCTCGGCTGACCATCTGTATATGCTGAGACAAAGGCAAAAAACGAACCCTTCCTTCTTCCATTGTCCTGATATAGGCTTCCAGAAGAAGGTGTGGCCCAGATTAAAGGTGTCTTCCAGTTTAAAGATCTGAATTAAAGGCTCCGTGTCTTCCTGCCCCAAGATCTGGATCACAGGTGTGCCCTTAATTCCTGGATTGTAATTCATTCCAGACATAGTCAAGTTGACAACCAAGAGTAGCCATCACAGCCACTGAGCCCCCTCAGAGTAAGTGATCCAAGAAGCGGGGAAGCCTTAAAACTCAGATGCCATCAAATAGGCACTAACAAATAAGTCACTTCCTTTATGTGGGAGGAGTATGAACTGAGGTGGGGGTCACTCTGGAGATCACCCTAGAAGGGAGCTCGTGTGATCCGCTAATAATGTGCTTATTTGAAAACACAATCAATGGTTAATAGAGCATTCCAAGATGCTGGAACATGATTTGGAGGAAAAGTACCAGGATGGCCATGGTGGGGAATAAAAGTCTGACAGGCTCTTGAGTGGAGGGCAAGAAGTGTGCCTGCCTAGAAGAGCCTTGAAGCGTTGACAAGAGTGTGCATGGACCGGTGACTTCTGGAGTGGTGGAAAAGCTAGACCTTGTGTCCTGTGGGAACTGGGACTCAGACTAAGGAAGACCCACCAGTCCAGAAAGGCAAAGGCAAGACTTGTAGGACAGCGCCTAGTGACTTGAACTGTTGACAGCTTTGAAACTGTTTACTTCCTCAGTGCTTCATCAAAGATGGGGAGGGATAACGTTCACAGGCACAAAGGAGGACCTGTCATCACAGACTCACTGATCCATGAGGCAGAAACAATCCCGGGGCCTCAGCCATTCCAAGCCCGTGCGAGGCTCAAGGCAAGCCTCACATTTGGTGGCCTTGTGTGTGCAGAGTTCAGCCCTAGCAATTCATGATAGGAAATAAAACGATGCAAGGTTGCCGGATGGCTCAGATCACAAAGACCTTGTTCTTCCCTGCCTCGTTCGCACAAAGGCTCGTGTTTGAAAAGTCCTAGTCTGGGATTGGAGCCACCCTGCTTGAAGAAAATGAGTTTTCATCAAATGTTTACAGTGACTGCATCCGCAGATTCAGAAGAGGAAAAAAAAAGAAAAAGAAAGTTTGGAAATGCTAGAGAGAATACAGAGGTGGCCGTGCGAAAGGCAAGGAGCAAGACAAAAGGGAAGGATTAATTACAGGCTTACACCTCGTCTGAAGATTCTGAGATGTATTTATCCCCTGCCACCAAAACTCCCTTCACACTCCGGCCTCAGTCTGCCAAGGTCTAGGGGACCCCAACAACACTTTCGCCGCCCTTGGCCACAAGGTGGCACTCTTTGGACTTTCTTCCTCCCGCCACCACCCCTCCCATCCCCCCCCCCAAAAAACCCAAAAAACTAAGAAAGGAGCGGAGAGGGGAGGGAGCAAAGACACCGCACTGCCCCAACCAAGAACAATTTGAAAACCCACCCCATCATACTTAAAATCTAGGACAAAGAGCCCTCGGGACGGAACTGCTTCGACTGCAAAGCTTCAAGCTTAGCCCGGGATCGGCCTGACGGCCGGAGCCCAGCCCCTCCACGAAGTAGAGCGCCCTGGGGTCCCTGAAACCCGAAACCCCAGCGCAGAACCGGCGGAAACCAGAGCGAAACCCTTGAACTTTTCTGGACAATTGCTTCCGGGCGTTTTCAGGCAGCCAGGGGACCCGACGGGAACCCGGGCCGCGTATGGCGAGCCCCTGAGGTCCTGCAGACGCAAGAGAGGCCAGCTCTCCGGCTGCAGCATGGACCGCGCGGGGTGTCTGGGCGCGGGCCTGCGGGGACTCTGCGTGGCTGCGCTCGTGCTCGTGTGCGCCGGCCACGGGGGACGGCGCGAGGACGGGGGACCAGCTTGCTATGGGGGATTCGATCTCTACTTCATCCTGGACAAGTAAGTGCCTAGAGGATGCTGCTCTCTGTCGGGTGGTCCCCAGGGACGCCACTGCTGGGATCCTGTCCCCAGATGCGGACAGTCCCTGCTGCTTTGCCCGATTTCCTTGCTGTCCCTGGTCCCAAGCTTGAGAGTCCCAGAAGGATGCAGTTGACTCTATTTCTCTGATTGCTTCCCACCTTGGTGATAAGGGATTGCAACCAGAAGTAGAACTTACAGACACTTCCAAAGTAAGAGGCGAGGGTATTCTTCAAAGCTAGCCATCTCCTTTTACAAATGTCCGGCCACAAAATGCAGTCTTTGTTCTCGTGGCTTGATGACCCTGGGCACTTAGTGGAAGTCCAAGTCACGGAGTCTCTACCTCTGGGACTCCAGCTGGTCCTTTGTGGGGACCTCAGCCTTGTAGGGGCTGAGTACCATCCCTGCCCCCTACCCTACAGACAGATGTCAGTCTACTGTCACCCTTCCTCCTGAGTGGTGTCAACTGGCAAATGTCCTAAGCGCCCTTTGCCTTCAGAGCTGAGATGTAGGTAAATTTGGGCTGTTGGCTTTTTGACGGATGGGCTGCCAGGGAAGCCAGCATGGTTGGCCTTCTGACTAAAATGGACTTTGCTTTAAGGGAGAAGCGAGTTAAGACCAGTTCGACACTTTCCAGATCCCCACAGGGCTGCCAAGCCACAGTCACTCAAGTTCACTTATGTGCGCTCAAAAGCAGCTCCAACAATAAAAGGTCCCTCAGGATCCGGGCTCCTTAGATCTGCGCCAGTGCCAGGAGAGGCGCTTGCAGTTACAGTGGTGGGGAGATGAATTTCACAGACTGGAAAGTATTTGGGAGCTGGAACAAGAGTCCTGAAAAATAAGCTGGCCGCTGGACACCAAATGTGCTTCGCAGTTGCTGCTGGGGTTTGGTTTTTCCGTAGGGGCTGTTTTGAACTCCAGATTCTTTGGATAAAAAGTGAGATCTCTTTCTTACAGATTTATGAGAAGGTGGATACTTAAAATTCAGGCCCAGGCTAAGAAATGGAAAATCTTTTTTTGCTTTAGCAGGTGGGAGCCGGAGCTCCTGGATCAGAGAAACTCTGGGATTCTGTCTGAAACCAAGGGTGCTCCCCATTGTGCTCTTTAAAGAGGGCTTGGGGGCTGGGCCTGTGTCTCAGTAGGATCCTTGCCCAGAATGCCCAAGCCCTGGCCTTGTTTCCCAGCACCACAGAAACCCATAAACTGGGGGTGGTGCATGCCCGTAATCCCTGCAGTAGGGAGGTGGAGCCTGGACCATCAGGAGTTGAAGGTGATCCTGGGCTCCTGGGCTACATAGTGAGTTCGAGACCAACCTAGGTTACCCTAGACTGTGTCTCAAAAGAAACAAAAACCATAGCAGCACAGTTTCTAAGGAACTCATGAGGAAACTTGAACAACAACAACAAAAATAACCATTTCCCCAGAGGACTGCCACGTGCTGTGAACATGACCAGGTGTCCTAAATCTATAATTTGAGCTCAACTTTTGGTCCAGTTTATAAACGAATTTATTGAGGTGATAGAGGAATTTTGGCAAATCATCTTAGAATTATTTCTAAGGTGGGGGGAACCAAATCAAAGGCTATACAACATTTTGGGGAAAGAATAATGAAGACAATTTCTCAGCAAATACAGAAATGTATTAAAAAGCAAATTAATGAAAACAGTTTGGTGAAGTTCAAAGTGTGTGTGGACAAAGCAGAAGACTATATAAGCAACCATGAACACTTGGTGGGATTTCAGATATGTGGGGAATGAGTTTCTTATTTCTAAGGATGTTCTTTGGCAAATGGTGAAGAATGTCTATATAGCCTCAGGTTTACACCTTATACAGAATGACAGGAAGAAGAACAGAGGGGGATTTGAATATATAAGCACTTTAGGGGGTAAAAGACAGCATAAGTGAAATATGGTAAGCTGAAAAAGCTTTTGCAACCTAATTTACTCTCTGAAGTCTGACCTTAGTATGGAAAAGCTAGTTAGAAATTAGCCTTATGTCATAATTTCCCAAGAAAAAATATATGTGAAAGTTAATACACAGACAAAAACATTCCGTTTCACTAGTAATTAAAGAAATGGAAAAGACCAAACACGATACTGTTCTTATTAGGTTGGCAGAGACTTTTAAAACATCACAGTGTCCAGTATTGGCCACCTGTGTCTTGTCTTGCTAGGGACAGTGTAACTGATGGTCTTTGTGGACTTGAACTGCAGGTAGAATTTTCTAGAAGGACAGAAGTGCTCTGTGTTCCTGCTGTCCAGAACAGTAGCTACGCGCCATATGTGGTCCCCATGCAAATGAGGACGTGAACTTTTAATTTTGTTTAAATTTAATGGTCACATGTGGCGGCCATGTGAGTGGTGTGGGTGAGACGAGCTTCGGCAGGAAGTAGACAGGCTTTTTAACACAGCTAAGGGTTTTCTTTTCCACCCAACAAGGCCTTATCTTAGACAGACAGACAGACAGACAGACGAAAGAAAGAAAAAAGAAAGAAGCGCAACTGAGAAGGAGCCCTTACTATGTGTCTACGGTGTTGTTGAGGTTTAGAGTAAAAAGCTGAGAATTACCTAAATGTCTAACGATGGGATTTAAGTAAGGCATGAAATATGCAGAGTACTGTTTATTCATTGCAGATTGTGCAGGTTTACAAGATATTTTAGGAGAAATATATAATACTTATGCTATTATGTTTCCAAACATTGTATGCATTCCACCTTTGTAAGCAGTGAGGCCAGGCTTGATGCCAGCATCTGGGAGACCAAGGCCAACCTAGGCTCAGTAACTAGATACCATCTCAGAACAGAGCAAGACAAAGCTGCCACCTGCATGTGCATGTCTGGACTTCCTATTAGGCCAGAATTCCTCTCTAGAAGACAAGAGTTTTAACTTCTGAATTTGCAAATTTCTTTTTCTGGTTGTTGTTGTTTTTGGGGGGGTTCTTGCTTTCTTTTTTTCTAGAAACAGGGTTCCCCTTTATAGGCTTTGGCTGTCCTGAAACTTGCTCTGTAGACCGGGCTGACCTCAAACTCACAGAGATCTGCCTGCCTCTGCTCTCTGAGTGCTGGGATTAAGGGTGTGTGCCACCACCAGCCAATTTTGAATTCGGAAGGAATGTGTGGAGAGGAGCTCTGGCCAGTGAACTGAGTTCCCAGCCCCTCGCTGTTTAATTGTAAGCCTCTGCCTTCCCACCAGCATCTTTCTGGGATATCTTTGTGCTGAATGAAAAGCTCATTAGAACTTTTACATTGTGTGTACACCTCCAGCTTGTCAGCTACACTCAGGCAAGTTGATGTGATTTCCAAGTCCAGAGCTGGAGGATGGGCCACCAGGCAGACATGGCAAACAGGCCGCAGGGTAGTCCCTCCAGACAAAGTCCTCTGCCCTGGGAAGGAACTCCTCAGACACCGCTGTGCATCACCAGACCACAGCAAAGTGGGAAGCAAGGAATGCTGACTTGGTTTGTGCTTGGGCTTCTGAGCCCCTTGGCTTCTGGGGTGCTAGCTACAGGCAGAAAAGCCGGTCACAGGGAACCCAGTCTGCGGCTGCTCTCTCCACCCCAGCAATTCCCTTCCCTCCTACAGTCAGTTCACTTTCCTGTGGCGTTAAAGCTCGGCTCACTTCAGCTTTGGATAGGGTGCATCTCTGGCCTGGAGAGAGCCCAGACTGTATAGTTAATGGAACGTCATGTTTCTTCAACCAGGAGCAAAGACTGTATAATGATAACCCAGAACACCACAGTAACACAATAGGGCGTTATTAGCGGCTCTGGCAACTGGGCTGCACAGGCTTTACACTGATGGAATTTCATGTTTATATAAACATGCTTTTCTGGTTATAGCTGGGAAGAGTAATTTGCTGGGAATTCAATCAGGGATTTGAAAAGTCAGATTTGGAAGGCCCCTGCCAGGAGAAGAACAGTTGAGCATCTCCTAAGTCTCCCCGGGGGTCTTCAGTACCCACCATGGACATGGTTGTATTTTTCCTTCCTGGCAGGGTTCTTTGTCACTGCAATGTGCATTTACACACCACGTATTAATCTTTTTATGTAGAAGGAGAAGGAAGATTTTTCCAGCTCCAGTCTCAGGGAGCTGTTGGCTATGATATGTGTACCATAAGGACTTCAAAAATAGAACAGTAAGAAAAGAGCAGGGCGGGGGGCTACAGGGTGAGACTTAGTTTTTGCTCAACCTATGTCTCTATCTCCTTTCCCCAAACAAAGGAAGCCCATCTTGGCGCTTTCTCAGACTTACATTGGGTGTTCTGAAGTGTGCTGATTGCACGGTTGTGAGGGAGTGTAGCACCCGGGAACGTAGACACTTGAGTAATGGATACAAAGAGATATTTGTCATCCTAGACTGGAACCTGCCTACATAGTGTATTGTTTTTCTGGAGAAAGATCTGGGTTCCTAACGATTAACTTACAAAGGAAATTTTGAAAGTCCAAGTTCAGGTGAGCACCCCAGCTTCTCAAGTGCTTTCACAAGGCCCAAGGTAGCCGCTGGTAGGTAGATGGATGGTCCCTATTTTGTAGATGGGAGAAACTTTTGTTCATCCCCCGACCGACCCTCGGGTTAAAACTGCCTACAATCAGGACTAGATCTTGACGGAACTGCAGAGCAGGACCTTGTCTGCTCTGGCCTCCCAGCCTGACCCTTTCTGCTCATCTTTACCCTGTGCTCTTGGGCTGAAATGAGAAGCACATGGCAGTACAGCCAGTGAGATCCTGTAGGTTCCAGAAGTTCAGTAAATCATGGAGCCCAAGCAGTTAAGACTGCTTAATTATAGAGCAGCCACTGGACCACTGCTCATCAGCTACTGCTGGTAGGAAATTCACATGCTCCTGCCTCCACCCCCTCCCACCTCCCAGAGACCTGGGGCTAGCGACTCTCACTCTGGGGTGTGATCAGTGCCTTGGAGTGTTCTGCACTTCGAGGCCCCATAAGTTAGTGGTTTGTTCAGACTGAATTTGATGGAAAGGGGAA